GGGAGAACGTTGATCAGTCATCTGGCCCGTGGAGTGCGGATAACAGGTACAATCCAAAAGAGTAGCTTGTAAAAACTAAAATCGATTAAGATGTGAAAGATAACGAATGATTGTTCACGAAGCGAGTGATAGCGCCACTGCACATTGTTGCATTTCTGTATAATTCGTGCAGTCCGTGAAACACGCGTGGATCTGGGAGAATATGTTATGTTCGTGAATATGGCTTAATGTTCACGATTACGCTTTAACGTTCATGGATATGCTTTAATTTTTATGAATATGCCATGATATTCATTGATATGCCTTAATGTTCATGAACAGGAACTAACTTCCTTGCTTATTCCCTGCTTTCCATTCAGTCGGGACCGGCGCCATATGGCTGAAATATTGCGTGGCGTTAAACTAACAGACAAACAAACAAACAAACAAACAAACAAACAAACAAACATTCAGCAGGAATCTTATTATAGAATATGACTTTAACAGGGTGCTCAGTGGGTGGGTGGTCAATTATTGTAGCTTTTGTTCGCGGTTTTGTGACCGAATGTTTTGTTCAGTTTCCAACTAAAATTATATTGTTTATTGTATTTTAATGAGTGTTTTGCAATAAAATTGTTTATTAATTTTATAATATCTCATTATCCAGCGCATTGGTCCAAAGGGGGAAGGCTGTAATTCTAGAAGTTTTCAAGTGTTTTTGTTTGTGACAGAGTGTGAACGTTTGAGACGGTCCCTTATTAAGCATCATACCAGTATCATATTCATGTTTTCATTAGATTTGGTATGCCAAACAATCCCGAGGGACGTAATACGTGTTTAGTGGAACAATGAAACACATTTCAGAAGTTGACGTTTAGTATTGGTAGTTGCTGCGCGGTGAAGTGATCGGTTTAACACTTACAAGCCCCCTTTTAGAATTTAGAAACACCCGTCTCATGCACACAACAACATGGACTTAATATCTATCATTTCTATGAAATATATCACAATTTTCTTTTAATAATACATCCGAGAATGGACAAATATTAAATTTTGATTCATTTAAAATGTCATTTTCTCAGATGTGCGTGTAATATCAGACACGGAGACCGTGTTCCTATAGATTAACGCTTTGAAATGGCAATGTTGTCGACAACGTGAAATAGCCATTTGCAGGTGTCGGGCTCGTGCCGTTGGGAATATTGTGACCTAGAATTAATACCTTGGCTATGAAATTTTATGAAATTGTGAAGAAATTAGGGAGAGAACCACACCGAATTTGCCAGCAAGAATGGTTAATTTGAATAATTGCTACTTACTTTCTTGTCTCTGACGGATCGATGTGACGGTGTTGATGCTAAACCGCCTCTCGTAAACTTTTGATGTATTTCTCCTAGCACGATTAAACGACACGAATCCGTTTTTTTCCTAAAAAAATCTGTAAGTGATATTTCATCTAAGTGAAATAAATGGATGGGCGTCTTCCAGTCTCCTCTCACTTCCCTGTCAATGTAGGCCATTCTTCTACACTTTTCATGACGATATTGTTTTCAGCCCTTGTCGAAACACTTACCAAAATGTACCACAATTCTTTTTTCCTTCTCAGTGTCGAGTGAATTCGAACAAAGATATAAAAAATACAAATGTTTTTTTTAATATACACAAAGAACTTAAGCATCCCCTGTATTTTTGCCATGATAGGTTTTCAACACGTACATAAAACTTCTCGTGGTGACCACGATGGAAAAACCCGTATGATCCTTTGACTCATAAAACGACAAAATGACTGGAGCCCATGTTGATTTTATGATGATGGTTGCTCATGAAAAACACCCACTGATTTTCATACAAAACCATGACTGTACAAGTATGGCCCTAGAATGTTCAATATTGATTTTATTGGTGAATGTGAACATTCAAATGCCATTTTGCGTGTCTTACACGATTCAAAGTCAATACCGACCGACAGCCAGCACTCTCCTCCTCATACCCCCTGTCAGCCTCCTGATGCTCTAAAGGGACAGTCTACGCCATTCCTCGTGAAAAGCAGCTTCCAATTGGGCCAGGTTCTGTACAGGAGGATCCCTTTGTTGCAAACGACGACCAGTCATGTCGCAGATATGCGCCAAAAGGTTAAGATCGGGGCTCATTCAATCGTGAGATATGCCAGGCGGTGTTTAACTAAGTTCTTTGTATATATTTCGTGAATTGAATACTTGTATAATATATTCCCGAGTGCTTGTTCTTCTGATGCCTGTGTCTGGGGGTGGTGGGTGGGGTGGGGTGCCAGTGATGGGGGCGGGCAGGATACTCTCACGATTTCTATACACGTCATTCCTGTACAGATTTGGTAAGCAGCGTACAAAGACTTTGCAGTTTTTAACAATTAATGAGTTTGGTGTGTCGCTTGAATTTACCAACATCTGTCTTGTAACATCAACAATTTGTCCTTATCTATTACTATTCATAATCATAATCATAATTACCAGAGTTTTTATATTAAAAATGAAAGTTGATTATTACGATGAGGCCAACAGTTTTTTACTGCAGAAGAAAAAAGTTTAGTTGATTTTTACAATGACTGTACAATACGTCCATGACGGTAGCAAGTTAGATATTCCATATTTTAAAAATATATTTGATGGAAATTACGAATGGCTACGCTGTTAATGTCAGTAAGACTCGGCTTGACGGTTTGTGAGTGAGTAAGTGAGTATAGTTTACGCCCTTCAGCAAGATTCCAGCAATATCACGATAGCAGGGAAGGACGTCAGTAATTGCTTTTACCCATGTTGGAAATCAAACCCAGGTCCATGTTGTGACGAGTGAACTCTTTAATCACTAGGCTACCCCATCGTCACCACGCAGCGAGTGAGTGAGTGAGTGAGTGAGTTTGGGTTTACGCCGCTTTTATCAATATTCCAGTAATATCACGGCGGGGGACACCAGAAATGGGCTCCACACATTGTACCCATGTGGGGAATCAAACCCGGGTCTTCAGCGTGACGAGCGAATGCTCTAACCACTAGGCTACTCTACTACGCGGCTAGTTTACAATACTGAGTATGATACTATAGTATGATACTGTAGCCAGATGTTTCTTGTCCATGAACACCGACTTGGTGGTTTTATGAATGGTAGTTGGTCGGAGAGCGGAAGGTTTGGGTTCGATTCCCGGTTGCGTTAAACCTAAAGACGTTAAAATATGGTACTTGTTGTTGTCCTGCCCGGAGATCGACATTAGCAAGATCAAACAAGGACCGGTTAACTCGAGGTCTCACTGGGATATCCATGTTTGCTGGCATGGCTTCTCACCCAGGGGGTTAGTCGCTAAAACCGGTTCAGACTCGTTCAAGAAGCCACACACGCACACACACACCCGCGCACGAGCATATGTTATACATTAATCTCGAATGCGGCGATATATATTATTTCACTTCACCTCTGTTACTGTGGAAAGATCGTTTCACCCGTGAAGATCACGGTCCAAATGACCTTCACCAACCCATCTATGGATCGGATTTAAATGATGTGTCGTATCACAAATGCCTAGGTCTATGTTCATTATATCAATCATTGAATTGTCTGGTCCAGACTATAGTTCTTACAGAAAGCTGTCATATAACTTGATGATTGCCAATTACGGCGTCAAACAAAGAAACAGAGAAACATCTTCGCGTGGTCCACATGCAGTCGCCAAGAAAAAAGATGAATGAATCATCAAAACAGAATCAACGTTTCCTTGAAAACAGATAAACATCTATCCCAAATGAAAACGACAAAACGGATCCGTTTACTCGTAGGCGTCATTTGACCGCCAGTTTGGTTAGAATATAGGTTTGCACGTGCAATATGAGCAGAAGCAATACTTGCCTCCAGGGACACTGCTATGTTGGCAAGGAAACTCGACCTTATTTGCGAGTTAATTACGAACACATACACGTGTACGTCGTAATTAGCGAGTTTAAATTCATACTTTTTTACAAACATAGCCTTTAAAAGGAATATTTTGTTCACGAGCCTGTTATGCAAATATATCAAGAAATAATGACCTGTTCATAAATCCTTTTTCATGACTTTGCTCTGAGGGAACCAATGAAGCGAAAGCTCACATACGGAGAACGTACTTCAAATGGACGTGTGTTTAGAATATCGGCGTACTAGTAAACACTTTTCACAGATGAAATGTTCTGCTAATATTAATGATAATATTTCATCCTTCGTAGGTTAACATTAGACTGTACAGGGAAATTCAGCCACGCAACGACTTTGTCAATCTAGGTCAATTTACGAGTTGATAACTGGAAAAGTAGTCCCCAGATAACGCCCCCAAAACACTGTTTCCACTTAGCTGTCGTTGTACCGACAATTCATGTAAGCTGTTAAAATACACCCCTGTTGTAGGAGCCTCTTTTTTGCTTTAACGGCCTTTTCTGTTGGCTGTTAAAGTAAACCCTTTGGCAATGGCCTCTTCCGTGTATTGCTAAAATACACCTTTGGTTTAGCGGCCTTTCGGTTGGGTGTTAAAAGAAACCCTCTATTTATTGCCGTCTTCTGAAAGCTATTAAACTATATATTAGATTTAATGCCCCATTCTAAAAGCTGTTAAAATGGACCTTTGTCGTAACGGCTTCTTTCGTCAGCTATATAAATAGACCCTTCTTGTCACGTTTTTTCTATGGGGTTTTGAAATAGATCCCAGCTATAACGAACTTTCCTGGCAACTGTTAAAATAGAAACTAATTGTAACGAACTGTTCTGTAAGCTGTTAAAATAGACATTAAGTGGAACTTACTGTTCTGTAAGCTGTTAAAAAAACCTTAGTTGTAACGAACTACTCTGTAATCTGTTAACATAGATCGTAGTTGTAACGAACTTTTCTGTAAAACTGTTAAAATAGATCGTAGTTGTAACGAAATGTTCTGTAAAGCTGTTAAAATAGATCGTAGTTGTAAGGAACTGTTCTGTAAAGCTGTTAAAATAGATAGTAATTGTAACGTCGCCGTCTGTTTCGTCCACAGAGGTCAATGATGCTGTCCAGGTTGATGGCTGTCACCAACAGACTCAACTTCAACAGACCGCTGCTTGGAGGCGCCGGACTCCCTGACCTCGCACCGCCCGCACCTTTCGCCAACAACGAGGAAAAAAGATTCAGAGCACCTTTACAAGGCCGATCAGGTAAATAGACCTCAGTCATCTTCATCAGAATCTTTGACATCGTTTGGAGTTTGAACGTGGGTGTACATGTGACGATTCGCTAGGGAGATAGTATATCTTTGTCAGGAGTGGAATCCATGTGCTGGACAAGTGACAGTATGGCAGGAACACTGTATACGCATGTCTTTCCTGTGGATAAGAAAAGGGTTTTGTTTCGTTGTTGAAGTGTTATCTATGAGTAAGTTTGTCGGGAAGACAGTATCTGTGTACATGTATGTGGTGGTACCTGGACAGGGGTTTGTGACGCTTCGTCAGGAAGACAGTATCTCTGTGTCTGTAGTGATATCTGGCGAGGGTGGTGAATATGTGACTGTTCGTCAGGAAGACAGTATCTCTGTGTCTGTAGTGATATCTGGTGAGAGTGGTGAATATGTGACGCTTCGTCAGGAAGACAGTATCTCTGTGTCTGTAGTGATATCTGGTGAGAGTGGTGAATATGACTGTTCGTCAGGAAGACAGTATCTCTGTGTCTGTAGTGATATCTGGTGAGAGTGGTGAATATGTGACTGTTCGTGAGGAAGACAGTATCTCTGTGTCTGTAGTGATATCTGGTGAGAGTGGTGAATATGTGACGCTTCGTCAGGAAGACAGTATCTCTGTGTCTGTAGTGATATCTGGTGAGAGTGGTGAATATGACTGTTCGTGAGGAAGACAGTATCTCTGTGTCTGTAGTGATATCTGGTGAGAGTGGTGAATATGACTGTTCGTGAAGAAAACACTATCTCTGTGTCTGTAGTGATATCTGGTGAGAGTGGTGAATATGACTGTTTGTCAGGAAGACACTATCTCTGTGTCTGTAGTGATATCTGGTGAGAGTGGTGAATATGTGACTGTTTGTCAGGAAGACAGTATCTCTGTGTCTGTAGTGATATCTGGTGAGAGTGGTGAATATGACTGTTCGTGAGGAAGACAGTATCTCTGTGTCTAGTGATATCTGGCGAGGGTGGTGAATATGTGACTGTTTGTCAGGAAGACAGTATCTCTGTGTCTGTAGTGATATCTGGTGAGAGTGGTGAATATGACTGTTCGTGAGGAAGACAGTATCTCTGTGTCTGTAGTGATATCTGGTGAGAGTGGTGAATATGACTGTTCGTGAGGAAGACAGTATATCTGTGTCTGTAGTGATATCTGGTGAGAGTGGTGAATATGACTGTTCGTGAGGAAGACACTATCTCTGTGTCTGTAGTGATATCTGGCGAGGGTGAAGAACATGTGACTCTATCGTCCGCTTCCACACTGCGATCTGAGATGAACTGATAGTGATCTCCCCATGATGTTTTTTTTACTTCTGATATAAAAAAACCGGGAGCAGCAGTGTTCAGGAAACGCAAGTCTAGGGTACAGGAGATGTGTTTGTGTGCTCTACGTTCACGTCGATTCGGAAATGTCCAGTGACTTCAACACACGAATCGTTTGATCCAGGCTGAGAGCAGGATATTGGCAAATGTTTCTTTTTGTTAAACCCTCGCAGGTTAATTATGGAAGTCAGACTAAGTAGAAAAACACAAGAAACAGAGAAGCCTTGTAACAGCAAGGCACCAGCACTTTAACATCATAGCAACCAGGTAATAGCACTGTAGCATCACAGCAGCAAGGTAATAACATGGTAACATCACAGCAACAAGGTAATAACATGGTAGCATCACAGCAACAAGGTAATAACATGGTAGCATCACAGCAACAAGGTAATAACATGGTAACACCACAGCAACATGGAATAACACTGAAACACCACAGCAACACAGCAGCAAGGTAATAACACTGAAACATCAGCAACAAGATAATAACATTGTAGCATCACAGCAACAAGAAAATTACATAACATCACAGCAACATGGAATAACACTGAAATACCACAGCAATGGGAAGAGGGGAATCGAACCCGGGTCTTCAGCGTGGCGTGCGAACGCTTAACCACTAGGCTATTCCTCTCCATCGCCATAAAACCAATGTCCACAACCAAATCTAACGCCATCTATTCCTGGGAAAACAGACTGATCTAGCTGGTATATTACTGCAATCCAAACCCAATGCAATATTTGACGGAGTGTGATTCATCTCTTCACAAGGTGAACGCGCGGGTTGTTCTAAATCGTTATCGGCAATGGCAAAAAAACACTGATTACCGTTCATAACACGCTGCCATCAACTACATTTTTTCCCTTTGTCCATGACGGGGAGTGGTTTGGACAAATGAAATTGTCGGTGTCGCACCTCTTTAAGAATGTTCCCTGACGATACTCTGGCGTCGCGCTACTTGTAACAAAATCGGCCTCAACGCAACTCTGGGACTGAATAGGTTTAGTGATGAATTCCTAAGATAACGATATCAAATCACCCATACAAATACACTTTCAGTTTTCCCCAGTGGGTCACCGGGACTTTAAGTGTTAATAAACACAGTTTCGAAAAAGTTGAGTCAAACGCTGCTGAGAAAGTGGAAACCACGTTCTACCTCCATTAATCACGCCTTCTGACGAGACCTGGACTCGGGCCACAAATAGTTCAATAATATTTTCCTACTCACTAATCCAGAATGCTTAGTACTGAGAACGAACCAAGTATCGTATTTTTATGCGGTGTTATAAAAGGTTGTTGAATCGTGCTGTTGAAAGGTAATACATTGTACGGGAACGTTCAGCGATAAAAGACAATTACAGCTCGGAGAAGGGTCACGTGACTATCCGGATGATCAGACGATACGATCGAGGTGGGTGGGTTAATAACACGCATTATTGCTAGTTGACAGGTTAATATCATGCCACGTCATATCTACAGCCGTTTGAACGTGTCAGTGCACGATACCATCATCATCTATGCACTTCCTTGAATATTTATAACGTGACATGGGCTTACAGCGTTCGCATGCCCTCTAAACCAAGTGTTATTTTGGCCATTATTAAGTCATTAGATTTGTTGTTCCAAATCTAGTGACGCTGAAACACAATTCTGGGCTGAGGTGTAAGGATGGAGACAATGAAGAGATACTGGAACGCCGTAAAACGTCACGAACGACGGTATAACGATAACGCTATTTGTCGGGGTATTATCATGTCAGCTGCCCGAAGTCGTCCATTAACTACCCGACGGAGTGCAGTTAACAGACCGAGGGTTTCTGCAAATGATAATGTTTTGAATATAGCCCCATCGTTATTGTAATTGAAATGGAGGGAATTTGTCCTTGACATGACAATATTCTGAACCAACGCAGGATGAGAAGAGAACGGTGTGACGTTGTCTTAGAAAGACGTCATCAATGGTGATCTCCGCGTGACGTCATAGCAGAGAAACAGTTTTGTGAACAAATCGGAAATATTTTTAGATTCTGGTGAACATTGCTATGGAAACAGTTGCCATGATACGTGGACATGCAAGTAACTCCTTATAATGCTGCCTGCTCATTGTATTGTCGTTGTGTTAGCATTACCCTCCATCTGTAATCTGCCGCTTGTTTAATCGTCTAAGTCGCTACTGTTTGCGCGCGACATCATCGACCCATATATCATCACGTGATCAGTTCCGATAGAATCCGACGCCCAGTTGTGGAATCGTGGCATGCACAACGTATGGCGTCACGTGGCGACGTGAGTTATGGTATTCTGTCGTTAGGCACCATGAAGACAGTATCCCTTACATTAGCCTGCATTGACTTTAGGGTGTTTCACGATGAATCTGGGGCGGGGAGAGTAGCCTTGTGGTTAAAGTGTTCACTTATCATGCCGAAGCGCCCGGTTCGATTCCCCACATGGATGAAGCCCATTTCCGGAGTCCCCCGCCGTGATGTTGCCGGAATATTGCTAAAAGCGGCGTAAAACTACACTCACTCAGTCATCCACGATGAACCTATCCATATAGCCTACCATTATTGGTAACGTACAAAATATAAGGCTAATGAGTACGGACAGCAATGGTTGATCTCAGGGCGAGGCTGTTGCATGTTTGGCTTCGTCATTGCTGAAAGGTTGTAAGATAGAGATATGATGTATCAAATAAATTCGAAAAACGAACTTTGTGCGCAACACCAGTCGATCTGTAAGTCGTAAATTTAGTCTTTCGTCTTAAATTTCTAAATGTTCTGTGAGATGCGGCGAGGCGAACTTTGACATAGTGGCATAAACAGGAGTGATGATGACGGCGATGATGATGACAATGATGACGACGATGATGATGATGATGATGATGATGATGATGATGATGATGGTGATGATGATGATGATGACGATGTAAACTGATTTGAATAATGGTATCAAAAGTAATAATGGAGAAGTAGCAGTAAGGGAAGTAGTAGAAGGCAAACTGATCTAAACGATAAGGAAGGTCAACAAGAGTCTTGATGTTGTTGACGACTCCTGGCATCGAGGAACCCCTGGCACGAAGGGAATATTGGCATCTTGCCCACCAAAGACACCTCGGCCTCTCCAAGACATGAAACAATTGTGAGGCACGTGCTCAATGAAATCACAATTTGTAAAATGTGTTTCTTTCAAAATACCTTCAAAATGTCTCTTGTTGGCTGCGATCGTCGTTCGAATGATTTTTATTACTACTCAATCCAGATGTGACACCCAGAAGTTCATGTCATTCAAAACAAAAACCTGAGTCTATCGCAGCCTGATTGAGCCATTACTGGTATTCAGTGGAGAGCGAGACCAGCCGCCATTTTTGGTGTATTTCTGGGGGCAGTATATGTGACGTTGCTTGCGGCCGTGGTTGTGCCGGAGTAGCAAACAAAGCCCACGTGGACGTCACGCGCTGCTCGCGGGCTTCGGGTATTAGCTTCATTGTGGGGTGATTGTTTGCGGTGGGGCACCGAGAGGTTTGATCTTGCACCATCTCCCGGGAGGATGACCTCCCCTGGCCCGATGCCTCCTCATACTTGCGTCATTAGACACACATGATACACTCTCATAGCGTCTCACGCCAAGTCTCGCGAGACCCCCAGGCTTCCCGCGGTGTAATTAGGCCTCTCAGTGTATTAACCCGGAGTTATCTGCCCCTTTTCCTTAGCGGTTGAACTTTTGGAGCGTGCTTTCTTACAAAAGCTGTCGTTCATCAATCTCTACATTCCATAACAAGACCACCTTTGTTTAATTCGGTTAGCAGTTGCCATGTGCCCACATCGAACACAATATCCGCTGACACGATATCAGATTCAATGGAATTAAAAATCGTAATATCTCGAAAAAACGACAACAAAGAAACATCATGTGAATTTTGCGAAAGTGCGTTGTAGCATTTATTTGTTGTTGTCTAAACTTGTCATCTGTGGAAGAACACTTGCTAACAATATAACTTCATTTGTCGATTGTGAATTAGGTTATTTGAAGGCATCTTGACTATCTTCCCATGTGCTAAAGACCGTCATTGAAAATAAAATGAATCTTCTGACGAACTTCAAAGTACTGTTTTATAGGGCAAACGTCACTTGGAGAAATTATTTTGTTTTCAAACCTTTGGGAGCTATTTCCTTCATTTTGAAAAAAAATACTGTATTTACATCAAACACAATTTGAAAGCAAAGTTTCAATAAGAGAATTTGATCCCCGCGTGCGTCTAATCCATGCTAACTTAACAGCTTGACATATATTGATGACAGTACTTGTTATCTTTGACGGTTTTTGTACATTTGCATGGATATAATTCATTGTTGAATTGAAGTGACATTGTCTTCCGCCGAACGTTTCTTGGTGCAGAAACTTCAACAACTATAAACACAAAATAACTAAGATGGCCATAGCAACTTCAACAGTGTCTCTGACACACGTACCTCCTGAAAGATGTGTCTTGGATCCTGAAAACAAATCCGGGTTAGAATTCGTCTTCAGCTTGTTCAGCAACCAGGGAATGTTGTCAAAAGAGACAAATGGGATCAGGTTGTCAGGTTCGCTGGCTTGGTTGAGCATGATATTGTATCCAAATTGCATGGTTGATGCTTGGGTATTTTCAGAAGTTGCAGCAGCATTGCTAGCTTCATCGAGTGGATTGGGTATTGTTTACGCAATGGTATACGGTATTTCAGCTATAGTAAGGCGTGTCAGCTTGATGTGGGGTCTTTGATTCCCAACCTACAATATATGTTTCTTGAACGGCTGGACCCGTGAAGATCCTGGTTAGAATTGGTCGTTAGTAACCCATGCTTGTAAGAGGCGACTAACGGGATCGGGTGGTAAGGCTCGCTGACTTGGTTGACACATGTCATCGTATCCCAGTTGCGTAGAACGATGCAATCACTGGATTGTCTGGTCCAGACTCGATTATTTACAGACCGACGGCATATTGCTGGAATATTGCTGAGTGCGGCATTATTACTTGCAGTAGTGGTAGTTGTGGTAGAAGGCACTAGTAGTAGTAGCCGTAGTTGTTGTAGCTGTAGTAGTAGTAGTAGTAATGTTTGTAATATCAGTAGTAGTGATACTATTTGTAGTACTAGGAATGTAGTAGTAGTAGTAGTAGTAGTAGTAGTAGTAGTAGTAGTAGTAGTAGTAGTAGTAGTAGTAGTAGTAGTAGTAGCAGCAGCAGGGCGAAGTGGGGGCGCGACTACCGTATGCCGTCAGTGTTGGTGGTTAATGTGTGTGGGCACACCTAATCTCAGCTGCAATGATGCCGTGATCTGTATCAACTAACCCCCTTGTACCTACCTTATTAACCACCATTAACAAACAAAGGCCCGCGACAGTAGACTGTGATGACACGGAAGCCAACAGTTATACCTTTCCGGCAACTCGTTTGTGCCGAACACGGACCAAAATATTTCCCAAACTATTTCCGTAGAATAACATGTCATCACCTGATATGAAAGGCGTAGCGTGATACTGCGAGACTTCCGGTGGGACATGTAAGCGGAAGTGGGCGTGTGGAGGCTATAGAGGAATTAGTTACTCTCCCGCGCGAGGTGATGAACAACCGAACTAAATGAGAACAAGTATGCACGTGCTTCAGTAACTTCATGTACACTCTGATTGCCAGACACCGACAGCGCCACCTGACGGCTGAAGGAATAACTACATTCTAACCCCACATTATTTCAACATTTCCTATTGCTTCTCAGAAAGGCCAGATCAATTGAATTCTTATTGCCCTTTTCAAGGAGCAAATATAATGACAGGATTAGAAGACACTGCAGCCAGTCAACCGAAGAAGGCAGTGGAATCGTTGTGCCAAGTTTACAATAAAGAAAAAGCTACTTTGGCATCTTACTGCAGTGAAAATAAGTATGACTGATTGAATGTGATTGGTGCGTGATCACGGTACTGCAGGGAAATCGATCAAGTCTAACATGCATGCACCATAAAACCCTGTGTACAAATATATGTTAAAGAGCATGACTATTGTGAAGACTATTTATGTGAACAAGCCGTCTTTTTTCATACCTCCTTTGATTTGAAAGGATTTATTGATTGTTATTATAATAACAATGTTATTAAGCTAGCCCGGCTCTTGAAATTCGACTAGTCTTTCCGGGACCAATGAAGTATACCACGATAGACTGAAGGACTTCAGCAAAGCCCTGGCTTGTCGTGGAATTTCTAAACAATATGTGGAAAGATGGGATGCCACATTTCTGGTGTTACAGTTGATGAGATTTCTTTGATGTTTACTGACAGCGAATACAAGTGAAAGTTTTGAACGAATCATTAATGAACTGCTTGTGTGTATGTTACAAGGGCATGCGTTGTATGAAAATAGAATCAAATCAATTTTCATAAGCAATAACTGCTGAAAGGACTGTCTTTATCAAATAGTGATGATGTAAGTTGTCCACGACAACATCAGCGTATCTTGCCCCATATCTTGGCCTCCGTCACAAACACGTGCAAAGGCTAGTTAAGTGTTTGCCTAGAAAAACAAATACAACCTCCCCATCCCCCCACCCCAAAAATAATATATATATATATATATATATACAAAAAAAAACAATAAAATGAAATAATAACTGATAAAATAAAATAGAAAAGAAAAATTACACTTATGATATTTAGAGTACAATTAAACGTAATCGGACATCATTTGTGACACCATCTGCTTCCCTTGTCTACAGCAAAACGTTTTGAAAGCTTTCTTTACTAAGGCATTGGATATCGTGACCCATGTCAACTTTTATCAAGAATAGTACGACGTTCTTTGCAAGTTCCGTCTGAGAACTTCTCGATTTTTCCTCAAAACTTATCAAATGTAGACACTAAGCCGGAGCTGCGGGGAGAACAACATCTTCTTCCTTTTGCTTTCTAAAACTTTGTAAATATGCACACCTGTATGCTAAAGTTGGAATCTGTTTGTTGCAGGTGGCATGTCACTCTGTCTCTGGAAGGTCTGCCCCGCCGCACCTTGGCTCGTGTCGAAGAAAAGCGTCGGAAAATGAGCACCACGTGACCTACTGGAGACATCGTCGTGCACCCACGTCACACTGACGTCACAATGACGTGGCACATCATCCCTCAATCACGGTACAGAATGGCTGACTGGAGAAATTGGACTACAGCTTAGCATCAGGAAAATACTGTCTGTTGTTTCGGCTGATGTTTTGGAACTATATAAGATACTATTTTCCTATCCTGTCTCAAGACTTTGTGCGAGATCGTCTCTCGCCCTTATGGCCTTATAAATAAATCTCTGATTCCATTATTTCCTTCCTGGTCTCAACATGCGTGCGTGCGTGCGTGCGTGTATGCGTGAGCGGCTATTTGGCTAGAGAGAAATAAAGTGTGATACATATTTTAAGTAGCCTTTACTTATTCATCCAGATTTGGGAAGAGTGCGCAGCTCATACACCAAAGAGGAAAGAAAGGTATACTGATGATCATTAGTTACGCAACAACCATTCAGTAAACGAATACAGTCAAGCATCTGTCCTAACCAATGTCTTGATGCGACATGTTGACACTGGGGTAATGATGAATATTTTAAAATGTGACCATCTGTCATCAATTAATAATAATCATTAAGATGACTCTGTGACGGTTGCGTAACTTATATCTTCAGTATATTCTTATAAAGATTTTATCAGTGTTCGCCGCACACTGACGATCCTTAATGTGTTTGCTTCGGAGGGAGATATTCACTCACAAACAGTGCATGGGATGAACCCCTGTGTGAAGCTGTGAACCGATTCTGCCACTCACCGAGTAAACCGATTAAACTAACAGGCATGTTAGTCATTGCGGAGGTATTCACTGGATCATGACGATGCATGGTCTTCACACTAGGTGGTCACTCGAATCAATCAGCAGCCATGTTTTTTTGCTGAAATGACTTCATTAAAGGTACACGATTTCACAATCGTCAGTCAACACAAACAAGATCGTGCTCACCTACTGTGTAGGACGGACATCCAGTTGTGCCATTGTAACACCATGCATGGACAGACAATTGTTCTACACTAACATTATACCAGCATCCATTGAGGAACACCTGTTCTACACTTCTGTTTTACCACCATCCACCGACGGACACACATCCCAATGACCGCCTCCGTGGTGTGGTGGTTAGAGCGTCCGCCCGGAGAGCGGACTGTCGCGGGTTCGATCCCCGACCGCGTCATACCAAAAGACGTTAAAGTATGGTACTTGTTGGTCTCTGCCTGGCGCTCGGCATTAATGGGTACAACAAGTTAACATTTTAACCCCACATATTGAAGGACACCTGTTCTATGCGACCATTTTACCACCACACATTGACGAACACTTGTTCTACGTACACCTTACTACATGATACAGATACGTGGATACATACGCGTTTTAATACGTGACTAGATGACAGACAACGGAGCAACGGATTCGTGGATAGGATGAGGCTGGGCGAATTGGAATTAAACCAGAATGTTGCTCTTACAAGACCGCTCGTCATCACATTTTTCCTCCATTGACACCCTCCTGCCAAGTCTTTCCTCTACATATACTCAATTTGTAGCGAATTCATTCCTTCATTCATTCATTCATCGTCCGTCCGTCCGTCCGTCCATTCATCCATCCATCCATCCATCCATCCATCTATTCATTCATTGACAATGATGACAACTCCTCCACGCCAGTACAATATAACAGCATGGGGTCTCAATAAAAGGATGGATATAAGGCAGTTCTTATTGCCAACATGACACTCCTTACTTGTCTCTGTCAACGAATTTGAAATACAAACCCTGTTCTAAGATGACAAGACTATTCATAGGGTAATTGATTTACGTTTTACACTGGGTTACGGAACGATATTCAGCGCGGGCTTAACGTGAATACGACACACAAATGAAGACGGATTTAAACCAGCTAGGCTCGGTAAAGATCTCCATTTCAAACTTCATTTATCGATGTTATCACACCTGCTCTACTATGTTTACAGATGGGACATCTGTTTACTGATTGACATGCTCATCTACGTAATTTACAGAACGAAGCACCTGTTTACATTATTTGAATGAAGTTCCTCAATAATATTATTTACAGGAGGAACACCTGTTTACCCGTTGACTTGAAGTTCCTCAATAATATTATTTACAGGAGGAGCACCTGTTTACACATTTGAATAATGTTCCTCAATAATATTATTTACAGGAGGAACACCTGTTTACACATTTGAATAATGTTCCTCAATAATATTATTTACAGAACGAAGCACCTGTTTACACATTTGAATAATGTTCCTCAATAATATTATTTACAGGAGGAACACCTGTTTACACATTTGAATAATGTTCCTCAATAATATTATTTACAGAACGAAGCAACTGTTTACACATTTGAATAATGTTCCGCAATAATATCATTTACAGAACGAAGCACCTGTTTACACTATGACTTGAAATTCCGCAATAATATTATTTACAGGAGGAGCTCCTGTTTACACGTCGAATTGAGGTTTCTCATTTAACTTTTTAACAGGAAGACCGCCTGTGTACACATTGATTTGAAGTTCCTCATTACATTATTTACAGGACTGACTGACTGAGTTTGGTTTTACGCCGCTTTTAACAATATTCCAGCAACATCACGGCGGGGGACACCAGAAATGGGCTTCACACATTGTGCCCATGTGGGTATTCGAACCCGGGTCTTCGGCGTGACGAGCCAACGCTTTAACCATTAGGCTACCCCACCGCCCCTTATTTACAGGAGGAACACCTGTTTACCCGTTGACATGTGGTGCTGATCTACGTAATTTACAGAACGAAGCACCTGTTTACACATTTGAATGAAGTTCCTCAATGATATTTTGTGCAGGAGGAACACCTGTTTACACGTTGATTTGAAGCTCCTCATTTACATTATTTACACGAGGAACACCTGTTTACACGTTGATTCGAAGCTCCTCATTTACATTATTTACACGAGGAACACCTGTTTACCCGTTGACATGTGGTGCTGATCTACGTAATTTACAGAACGAAGCACCTGTTTACACATTTGAATGAAGTTCCTCAATAATATTTTGTGCAGGAGGAACATCTGTTTACACGTTTATTTGAAGCTCCTCATTTACATTATTTACACGAAGAACGCCTGTTTTCACGTTGACATGTCTACCAAAGGGCATCTGTTCAAACGTTGACATGGAATCTTGACATCGAAATATGAGTACACCATCTTCACACATATGTACATGAAATATACACCAAAAACCCAAACAGTTAGATCTAAAAACATCATAGCTCTTAAAGGCACACACAAAATGTCAAGATAATCAGTCGAACAGAGAGTGTTTTTAATGACATTGACTGCGGATTGGGAGGTTCACGTTGCATTATCACCGACTGACCATTGCCAGAATGGACACGCCGCGGACTCGGCGTGGAGTATCAGAGCACGAGTGACCCCCAAGACGACGCCATCGGCTCACGTTACGTCCATGCAGGCGCTTCCTGACAGCAACGTCTACGGCAATGATTGGACTGGGACAACGTGCATTAGGACAATGATGTACGCCAGGTATTCAGTCATCTCGAACTGTCGGACGTTGACAGTGACGTGATAGGTCAAGGCTACTGCTCGGTGACGAGAGATGGTTCAACTTGCTTCCTCTTGGTTGACTCCTTTGCACCAAGACACGGAACAAACAGTGGAAGAGATTACATTCCCAGAATATGTCGATCTGTAGATAACAATGATTTGAGTGAGTGAGATGAGTTTAACGCCGCACTCAGCAATATTCCAGCTATATGGCGGCGGTCTGTAAGTAATCGAGTCTGAACCAGACAAACCAGTGATCAGCATCATGAGCATCGTTCTACGCAATGTGTCAACTAAGTCCGCGAGCCTGACCATCCGATCCTGTTAGTCGCCTCTTACGACAAGCAAGTGTTACTGAAAATCTATTCTAACCAGAATCTTCACGGGTCCAAAATGATTTGAAATTAATGCAAACAATAGTGAATACAATTTCGAATACAATTGCAAATATAGATCCAGGTATACAATGAATTGTACGAGTATCGACCATACTAGGTTTCACGAGTGTATCATTTAAATTAAATGAAATTTGCACATTTGATTAAACACAATTAAATTCAATAATGCGTTTCTTTTTCTGAAGAGTGTATTTCTGCATAGTTGTATAAAATGATTTCGTAGTAAATCTCAACTTGTGATACTAACCTGCTTCGATTGATGCTACTTGGGTGATTCTGGAGTACTGGAGTACTTCCACAGTGTTTCAAGCTGTCATTTTCATCAGAATTTATGTTTAAATCCACAGTATCTATATCAAGTTTAAATAACCTTAAGATGGTAAAAGAGCTTTTCATTTTCAATTTTAGTAGACATTGTATACAAACAACTATTTTGAAACATAGAAAACCAGTTACTATCTTCATAAAATTTAATTTGACGACTCTAAGGTTTCATATCCTCAACCATTGAGCTGTATTGGTCAGCATCTCCAGCTTCAAAAGTGGAGTCTAACGGTGGATGCATTTCCGTTTCTTCAGAAAACAATGTCATTCTGATCTTCTTTATTCGCTGTGGCTGTACATTAGCAAGAATTAATCTTCCTTTCCTCTGAAATTTTAAACCCAAACAATTATAAATTATATTCAATTTCAATTTAATCTCCAAGACGTGCCCTGCGGCAAATGTAACTTTGGCCTTTGATAAAATATATAAATTTTGTTTATTGTGATCACTTACTATGGATAACATTCAACGATCTGGGGTCAAATCTTTAATTTCATACCAGAAAACAAACCAGGAAAATATTAAGAGGAAGTAATATTTACAATTTATGACTGCATTTGTTCGTGAAGAGAGTCGCTGGTGGCGTATCATCGTTAAATGATCGTGACTGAAAAACAAAAGACGAATGGTACATCCGTCTCTGCTTTAGCAGAATCTTTTGTAGATGGGGAAAGTGTTTTAATTCTTTGACACATATTGTGGTATAGGTTTCTTATCAGGTTCACAAACATTCCTTTAACTCCAGAAGTTAAAAGTTGTAAACTAATCCTACTGCCAAACACTATCAATTACTTATGAAACTACTATGATTATTTAAAAATAATTTCCTTTTAGCAGTCTATAACTTATATATATATATATATATATTTCAAGCATGTTCTGAGTAGCCTATATTGAGGCGGTGTAATTTTATTGTTTCTGTTAAAAACTTTAGTTAGTCGTGAGTTCAATACATCTCAAACTATTTTCCAAAATGGTAGAGAAAGGCAATAGGTATGTGTTTGGAATATCCCCATTTTCTTGTTTTTCATCTAATCAAACACATTTAGCCCGACAAAA